TGTATGCATCCTACGCATGCGTGGAAGCGCAGAACTCGTCAAAACCGGGTAAGAAACGTGGGCGGGTGGGTGGACCCTTCAGCGTTCCCGGAAGTTACTTACTTCCGGGTTAGCCGACCAACCGGTTCGTGGGGACCGCCGCAAACCGCCTGAAACCCACCCCTGCATGTTCGGCAGCAGCAAGAAAGGCATTTGCGCAACACTGGCAAAACAAAGAAACACCCACAGAAGAAGAAATAAATAAATAGAAAATATTAGATTGTGCAGAAATGGACAGATTAACATTGAAGATAAAAAGAAAAAAAAGAAGACAGAGAATATTTCCTAACTTGGCGCTTGCTTTATCAATAGTTGGATAATAGAAGTAGAAATTAGTTTAATATTGTCATGTAAAGGGACACGGTAGCTGAGGGGCTAAGACACTGAGCTTGTCGATCAGAAAGATCGGCAGCTCAGCAGTTCGAATCCCTAGCACTGCTTAATGGAGTGAGCTCCCGTGACTTGTCCCAGCTTCTGCCAACCTAGCGATTCGAAAGCACATAAAAAATGCAAGTAGAAAACTAGGCACCACCTTTGGTGGGAAGGTAACAGTGTTCCGTGCGCCTTCGCCGTTGAGTCATGCTGGTCACACGGAGACCAGGGGTGGGGTCTGGCTTCTTCTACTGCCGGTTCACTCAGGGATGCGCTTCGGGCATACATGCGCTTGATGCGCACAGTAGGTAACAAAAAAAACAAGATGAAACCAATAGAACTGGTTCTGGGGCATGGCCAGCCGAATTACTACCTACTCGGCTGAACTGGTAGGAACCCACCTCCGACGGAGACATCTTTGGACAGTGCTGGCTCTTCGGCTTTGAAATGGCGGTGAGCACCGCCCCCTAGAGTCGGGAACAACTAGCACATATGTCACATATTTACCTTTACCTACCTCATGCAAACAAATTGTCTCAGACAAAGCATTTATTGCACATAAAGAGAAAATAGATAAATAAAATTAAAAACAACAGCAAAAAAGATAGGACTTCAACTCCCAGAATTCCTCAGCCGGCCATGACGGTTTGAGGAATTCTGGGAGTTGAAGTCCACACCTCTTAAAGTTACAGTGTTGTTTTTTTTAAACTTCTTCGGATCTGGTAATATTCATTGTAGAGTCTGCGGCTCACCCAATGTAGATGATATCGTCCGGGCCACCCACAATCACCCAGGAACAGCTGCTGGAAGTCATCACCCGGCCCGAAGGGCTACGGATTTGGCCTTGCGGTTCTTTCCGGACATCGGGATAACCTGGGCAAACAGCTGCCAAGGCGGAAAAAAGAGAGTCAGAAGAACGATGCCCCCTCTGTATTTTTTCTAGCTCTTTGGCTCCTCTCAGACTCCTCCTCTTTTGGTCACTTTTTAACCCTTGTTCCCACGCAGGTTCATTTAGTGACGGTTCAAAAGTTACAACGGCACTGGGGAAAAAAGGCCGTTTTTCACACTCATTTTTCACATTTTCCCCAGGGTGCAACCTTCCTTGCCACCGTTGTTCAGTGAATCACCGCAGCTGGGAAGCTAGTCACGCGGTTGTTAAGTGAATCGAGCTTCCCCATTGATTCGGCTTGTCAGAAGGTCGCAAAAGGGGATTTGCGCCCCCCCCCCCCCGGGTGGCACAGCAAACCATGATAAATATGAACCATTAGCCAAGCGACCGAAGTTTGATCACGTGAACAGGAGCCGACGGTTATAACTGGACAAGCCGCCTTTTTCAGGGTCGTTGTAACTTTGAAAATGTTCACTAAATGAATGAAATTGGGGCCTGGCTTGGAAAATGCACCTTCTCTGGGGCAGCCCGCACCCTCTAGAATCAGGTCTCTACCCCGTCCCAGATCTGGATGGCCCCCACTCTGCTTGGTTCAAAAGTGACGAAAATCCAATAAGACTTGGGGAAGGGGGGGGGTGAGACCTCCTCCTTGCTAAACTTTTATTTTTAATTCATTGTATTGTAATTCTTTGCTTTCATCATTGTGTGCCTCCCAGAGTTCAGAAACAGCATATAAGATTAATATATAATACTAGCTGACACCCCGGTATTTATTTATAGGGGGGAAATGTCCAGACCAAATGTCATTTCTTTTTTTATATATATATAAAATTTTAATTTCTTGAATAAACACAAACGCCTTAAAATCATCTTCCATTACAAATTGTAGAAAGTGTGTCAATCGGTTACAAAGAACTTTCATGCATCCCTTCCACCGTCATCACCAATGATTCATATCAAGTTATATATTTTGCACCACATATATTTATATATATTGCTATCATCATACCTCATCCTTCATATGACTATAGTTGTTTTAACGTCCCTTTATAACAAATGTTCCGAAATTTAAAACAAAACCACATAGTGGCATTCCCGTATCTATTTTCAATATCATCTAACCACATTATACCTTTATATTCCTAACAATAACAATTTGTGTGTGTGTGTGTGTGTGTGTGTGTTTTAATTTG